AGGCAGGGTGGGACGCCAGGCACCCTGTGCTCTGAACCTGGCCGCATGCGGGTGGGGAGAGCAGGCTGGCGTAGACGAAAGATGGCCCTGCGTTGGCAGCTGCTGGGGAGAAGGCAGGGGGCGTGGGGGGAGGGGAGGGGCTGGTGGGAGGGAGAGGGCGAGCTGTGACAGGGGCGGCGGGGGCAGAGGTGGCGGTGGTGGAGGAGGGAGGGTGGATGGAAGGTGGGGTGCCTGGAAGAAAGAAGGGACGCTCGAGTTTTGCAGGCTACCAGAGGTAGCAGAGGCAGAACGAGCAGGAGCAGCGTGAGAGGCAGCAGCAGCAGCAGCAGCAGCAGCAGCAGCGGCAGCACGGGAGGAGGATGGGAAAGGAGGAGGAGGGGAAGAGCGGCTTCCTTCCCACACCAGAATCACATCATCATCCTCATCCTCCTCCTCTGCCTCCTGCTGCTTGCTCTTCTCACCACCAACACCACCCCCCTTGCCATTGCCATCGACATTGCTCTTGCTGTTGCTCCTGCCTCCTTCCCTTGGTCGCTCCTCTGAATCCCGTGCCTGCTTTCTCGCCCTTTCCGCCCAGCCTCCTAAGCATGACTCTATTGCACCGCCCACAGCTGCTGCCAACCTCAAACCTCGCGCAACCTCGCTTGCTCCTGCTGCCCCCCTTGCCGCTGCTCCCCTTGCCGCTGCCTCCCCCCCTGCTGCTCCCGCTGACCCCGCTGCTGCTTGTGCTGTTGCTCCCCCCTCAGAGGCAGCGAGTGCAGAGCCCACAGGGCCTGCCTGCCACCAGGGCTTCGGGCCATAGCTGCCAGAGAGGGGCATTGACGCTGCTGCTGCTGTTACTGCCTTTTGAGGCGCCTCAAAAGCCATTGCCGCTGATGTCGCTGGTGCTGCTGCCACCCCTTGTTCTTTCCTTGAATCGCCCCACCCTGCATAAGCACCATGCGCCGTCGCGCCAGCAGCAGCAGCAGTAGCAGTAGTAGCAGCAGCAGAGGCACCAGTGTAACTAGCCGGTGCTGCTGCTGCTGATTCCTCACTTGCTTCTGCAGCAGCAGAATCTGCGAGGGCTGCACGTGGTGTACCCGTCTCACCTGCTTTGTCTCCCACCCCAGCACCCCCTCCCTCTTTCCGAGCCTCCCTAACAGCATCCTCACACTCTTCATTCAAATCCAAGCCCCTCAACCACCCTCCACCCCTCCCAACCTCCCCACCATCCCCACCAGCAGCACCACCACCACCACTGCTCTCACACCCTTGAGCACCGCCCTTATTCAACCCACCCACACCACCAGCATCGCCTGGCGCACCAGCAGGTTCGGAACCTACAGGTCTGGAACCTGACCTGAGATCCTCAGGTTCGAAAGAAACACGTTCGGAAGCAATAGGTCTGGATCGGGGCTGTGAGGATGCGGGTGCAGGGGGCGGAGTGAGGGGACTTGTGGTGGTGGTAGGAGCGGGGGCAGGGGAGGGACGGCGCGATGGGGGTGGCATGTTGGGGAGGGAGAGGAGCGCGGGATGGGGGGAGGAGGGCAGAGGAGGAACGGCTAATGCAGGGGCTGATGATTCTGTCTGCTGCTGCTGCTGCTGCTGCTGCTGCTGCTGACAAGGCATAGCCGCATGCTCTTCCTCTGTGCCCTCCTTCTCTTGTGGTCTTACCCATTCCATGCCCGTACCCATGCCCATGCCCGTACCCATGCCCATGCCCGTACCCATGCCCATGCCCGTGCCCATGCCCATGCCCGTTGCCATGCCCATGCCCGTGCCCATGCCCGTGCCCATGCCCATGCCCGTGCCCATGCCTATGCCTATGCCCCTTCCCACACCCCGCCCCATGCCTCTCCCCACGCCTCTACCCCCCTGCTGCTTCTCCCACTGCTCAACCCCATCCCTACCTTGCCTTTGCCTCTTCCTGACCCTACCCCTACACCTCCCTCCATCCCCCTGCACCGCACTGTCCACAGCACCACCGCTCTCAGCCCTCCCACTCCCATCCCCACCGCTCTCCACCTGCCCAGACCCTCCCATCATCTCACCCCTCCCGCCGCTCTTCACAGTGTCCCTCTCTGGCCCAATCATCTGCTGACACCTGGCAGCTCGGGCTGTAGCAACCTCTCCCTGCTCCTGTCCCTCTTTTCCGTCCTCTGTCCTCACCTCCCCTACTACCCCCACTGCCCCCACTGCCCCCATTGCCCCCGTTATAGTCACCTCCCCAACCACCATCCCAACCATCTCCGTTGCACTCCCTTCAAGCTCCTCACCCACCACCCTCACCCCAACCACACCTCCCTCACTCCCCACCTGCACCTCAGAAAACACCTGGCCAGCTGGCACCTGAGGGGGCACCTGAGAAAACACCTGAGCACCGCTCTTGGAGGCAGATGGGGCCAGGGCAGAGGGGCGGGGCCCAGGGGGATGGCGTTTCCTCACCTTGCGACTGACTGTGGAGGAGGGGACTGGGGGAGGTAGCATCGCAGAAGAGGTAACAACTGGGGAAGGCGGTTCTGATGGGGTCAGTCTGTCCTTATCCTCCTCTTCCCTGCCTTTCTCTTTCTTATTCACTGCTGATTTCTCCAAGCCTTTCCGAGCCTCGACATCAGCTTCGGCCCCACCCTCGCCCGCAGCTTCGGCTCCAGCTCTCCCTTGAGAAGACAGCGAACTGTCCGAGTTCCGCAAATGCTGACCTGGCGCCGCACCTGCCACATCACCACCCCCCCCGCCCGACGCCTCCTCCCCTCCCCGCTCATCCGCCGGAAAGTTCAGCTTCGCCTGCGCGCCGTGCACGCGCAGCACTGCCACGTCATACGCCAGCGCAGCCTCCTCCGCGGTGGCATAGAATCCTACGTGGCGCTGACGTGTCCCGTCCCGCGCCAGCATGCGCGCCTGGTACTTGCCAGGGGCTTTGAGAGTGACGCCTAGGTACTCAGTGGTGGCAGGCAGGCGCACTCGGCTCCGAAGCGAAGCCTTTCTGCTGAGAGCGCTGCTGCTAGGGCTGGTGGGAGGGGGCGTGGTGGTCGTGGTCGTGGTGGTGGTGGGTGTGGTGCTGGTGGGATTGGTGGAAAGTGGTGTAATAGTGTTCGGGACGGTGCCACCAGTGGTGGTGCCAGTGGTGGTGGAAGGGGGAGCACTGGTGGGTTTCATGGTTGCAGTACCAGCTTCAATCACCTCCACCTCCTCTTCCTCTTCCTCTTCCTCCCCTTCTTCCACCCCTTCCCCTGCCCCATTCCCTTCCCTGTCCCCTTCCTCGTCCCATTCCTCCCCCTCTTCCCTTTCCCCTTCCCTTCCATCCCCCCCCTCCACCAAACCACCATCTTTACTCCTCTGGGTAGACTCTGAAAGGCCTCTCCACTCTGACTGGTCTTTTAGATCCGGACGGACATTCGACCCCAACGGGCCTCTCGACTCAACATCTGCTCCGGCCCGCACCCACTGCCCCTTCATACCCCTCCGTGGCACCCTCTCTCCGGCCGGTTTCAAACCAGGCGATTTTCCAGGTGCTTTGTTCTGTGTCTTGGCACGTGCCTTGACAGCCTTCTTGGCAGGGATTTTAAAAGGCCCAGGTGTTTCGCCAGGCGTTCCTCCCAGTTTCCCTTCAGGTGTTGCATCAGGTGTTTCGTCAGGTGCTTCTGCAAAACCACCTGGAGCCGCAGCAGCAGAGGGACTGGGAGCTCGGTTCACCTGAGGGGAAACAATTGCCACTGCGGGTGCATTATCGATGCCCACTGCTGCCTGCTTGCTGCTCCCTCCTGCCTTTGCCCCTCCTTTCTTAGCTCCCACCCCTTTCCCTCCCGCTGCCTTTGCCCCCTGCTTCCCTGGAAGCTTCCCTGGCACCTTCCCTGCCTTCTTCCCTGCCTGCTTCCCTTCCTGCTGTGACGTCTGTGTCCGCCCTTGGGTTGCTTCTGTGGCGGAGGGGGCTGCAGCACCAGTGGCAGCAGTCGCATCGGCAGCAGCAGCAGCAGCTACAGAAGCAGCATGAGGGACGGGGGAAACGGGACGAGTGGTAGAAGCCAGAGGAGGAGAGCAAGGGGGGAAGGAGGGAGAGAGGTGGTGAGGAGGAGGAGGAGGAGGAGGAGGAACAGGCCAATTAGGGTGAGCGAGGGGGGGAGGAGGAGGGACAATGGTGACGCCAGTGAGAGAGATGCGCCATCTCGAGTTCACCTTGTAAGATCCTTTCTCATCCCGCTCCTCTCTGCCTCTCCTCCGCCGCTTCCTCCCACCCAATCTACCCCCCATCCAACCAAACCCGTAAGCGTAACCATACTTGTTGTATTTGTACTTGTTATAAGCATTCCCATACCCGCTACCATTCCCATTACCAGAGCCTTTGCCAAGACCACTACCACCACGGGCACTCACTCCTCTCTTCTCCGGCCCGTCTGTCTCCACCTCATCCTCCCTCCGCTGCCTTTTCCTTCCCCCGTCCCCCTCCTTCTCATCATCCCCCTTATCCGCACACCCCTCATCCCGCCCTTCCCCATTTCCTCCCCCCTCTCTCCCCCTCTCCAAACCTCCCTTTGCCTCCTTTTCCCCCGTTTCCTCTCCCTCCACCACCCCCTCGGCCTTCACCTCCTCTTCCGCCTTTTCTTTCGCCTTCACTTCCGCCTCTTTCGCATCCTCTTCCTCCTGCTGCTCCTCCTGCTCTTCCATTGCTCGGACCAAAGCTGCTTGGTGCTCGGCCCACACTCGCTGCACCCACAGCAGCGTGGCCAGGTACGGGTCGCCCGTGCCGCTGTCCTGCCCTTTCATGATCCCATCCTCAGTTGCCCCTATTGCTCTTGCTGCTCCTGCTGCTGCTGCTGCTGCTGCTGCTTCAGTTCTCGTTGCTGCTGCTCCTGCGCCTGCTGCTGCTGAAGTTGCACCACTGGCAGCAGCAGGGGCAGGAGCAGCACCAGCAGCACCAGCAGCAGCAGCAGCACGAGCAGCAGGGGAGGGCACGGGGCGAGTGGCTCGAGTGGAGGGCACGAGGCGAGCCACCTTCCACCCCCCTGGTGGCGCCACACGCACTCGCCCCTTCAAGGGAGGATGAGGCGCGGCACACACAGTGGGGGCAGCGGGAGGAGCAGGAGAAAGAGAGGGAGCAGCAGGAGCAGGAGCAGGTGCAGCAGAGACAGGTTTGGATGATGGAGGCCCGAGAGGAGAGGGCGGAATCCCATGGGCGGTGGTTGCAGGGCGAGAAGCAGCAGTGGTTGGGGAAGGAGGGACACCCGGAGCAGGTGTGACTGGCACCCCTGTGCCTTGTCCCAGTGCCTTTTGTCTCTTCTTTTTCACTCCCACTTTAACACTGCTCATCTTGAATCTCTTTTCCCCTTTGCCTGTCACCGTCTCTGCAGCACTCCCCATCCGTTCTCCTACCCCCACTCCCGCCCTCTCATCCTCCCTCTCATTCTCCCTCTCCTTCTTCCTCTCATGCCTCAACCCATCCTTCCACCCCGTTTCCTCTCCCCCCTCCTCACCCCCATCTTCCTCCTCCTCATGCCTTTCCTTCCCCTCACTCCCCTCCTCCCCCTCCTCTTCCTCCACCTCCCCTTTGTGACCATGTGCAAAACCTCCTGCCTTCCCCAGCAGCTTCCTCCTCCTCTTCTTCCTCCCAATCATCCCCATCTCCTTCCCCTCTCCCGCTGCCAGCTCACTCCTCGCATTAACCCCCATCTCTTTCGCCCCGAAGCCACCTCTTCCACCCACCAGCCCCTTTCCGTTCTCATCGGCAGCATCATCTGCTAGAGCCGCATCACCACTGCCACCAGCAGCACCAGCAGCAGCACCACCAGCAGCAGCACCAGCAGCTTCACCTGCATTCGCCACTTCCCTCATACGTGGCACCACCATGGGACTCGTATTCAGCACCACATCTTGCCCAAACTTCACCAGATGCAGCCGCAGCAAATTCGGCTTTTCCACCTCAAAAACCAATGCCTCTCCCTCCTGTAACTCGAGCGTCCCAGCCAGCCCCCCCCACCCGTCCTTCAGCCTATACACTGGCACTCCCTTCGAGTACACCCCCCACCGCATATCCCACCGCCGCCCGCCCGGGCCAATCACAGCCATCCGATCGGACCCCGCCAGGTGGCGCTTCACAAACGGCCCGGGCAGATCCAGGCCCTTATCCGCGGTCGCGATGACGTGGCGGGTGACAAACTTCACAAAGGACGGACGCGGCGTCCGCATTCGATGAATCTTGCGCACAGTCTCTCCCTGCAGCGCCAGAGGGCTGATACCCATCGAGACATACGGGACAAACCCAAGCTTCTCTCCTCCCGGTCCCACGTCCTGCTTGCCTGCGAATCCCTTGAGCTCTCGTACTACTCTGAGCTTCATGACGTCCCGGCGGGGGAGCCCTTTCTCCCTCTCCCTGTCCCTGTCCCTTGTTCGCCTCACCTGGCTCTCTCCCTTCACCACCCTCACATCGTCGTCATCATCATCATCCTCGTCATCTGTATCGTCACTATCATCCTCATTGGCCTCATGAGCATCGTCAGGAGAAGCAGAAGCAGCAGCAGAAGCAGCAGCAGCAGCGGAAGCAGCAGCAGAAGCAGCAGCAGCAGCGGAAGCATCACCAGCCGCAGGAGCAGCAGGAGCAGCAGCAGCAGCAGCAGCAGAAGCACAAGGATCAGCATCAGCGGCAGCAGCATCAGCGGCAGCAGCATCAGCGGCAGCAGCATCAGCGGCAGCAGCAGCAGGAGCAGCAGCATCAGCGGCAGCAGCAGCAGGAGCAGCAGCATCAGAAACAGCATGATCGTCCTGCTCCTCTTCCTGCCGCTGCCTCTCAACCACCTGCTCTTTCATCTTCCCCTGCCCCTCCTCCTCCTCCTCAAGCCGCCTCTTTTCCAGAAGCTTCCCCGCACTCCTTACCCTACCAGGATCATTCGCCACCCCTTCATTCTCCTCTTCCTTACTTTCATCCTCTTCCTTCTTTTCCTCTTTTTTACCATCACCATCACAATCATCACCTCTTTTGACCTCACCCTCCCTTCCTCCTTCCTCCATAGCTTCCTCTTCCATCTCCCCACCCCCCATCTCCTTCCCTCCGTTCTCCTCCTCATTCCTGCTTCCCATTTCATCGTTCCTCTCCTCATTCCTGCTTCCCATTTCATCGTTCCTCTCCTCATTCCTGCTTCCCATTTCATCGTCCTTTCCTTCCTCCTCTTTCCGTCCCATCCGTGCCACATCATCTTCCTTCTCCTCCTCCTCCTCCTCCTCCTCTTCCTCCTTCCTTCCCATACATTCCTCCTCCTCTTTCTTTCTCCCACTCTCCTTGTCGTCTCCTCCAGTTTCCACCCTCTTCCCCTCCATCCCCTGACGCCCAACCTTCCTCTGTCTAATCTCCTCCTCGTCTTCACTCTCCTCACTCGTCCCCTCACTCTCCTCCTCCTCTTCCTCCTCCTCCCTCTCCACCGACCTTCCCCTCCCACGCCCACTCCCTCCCCCATATCGCCCTCCTCTCCCTCCTCGCCCCCTCCCCCTCCCCCTTCCCCTCCTTCCACCCACCCTCCCGCCACCACCACGACTCCCCCTCCCCTGGTCTACTTTCACACCCCTTCCTCTACTACCCCTCCCTCCCCTCCCTCCCCTCCCGCCCCTCCCTCTCCCCCCTCTTCCTGCGGGCTCAATCATAACTACATCCTCCCCTCCCTCCTCCTCATCCCCCTCTGAGACGTCTCCACTCTCTTCTCCTTGGAAGCTCCCTTTTCCTTTCTCCTGCAACTTTTCTCGGCCTACTTTCGTCGTTCTCGCTCCTTCTTCCTCCTTCCCCTTCCCCTTCTCCTTCTCCTTTCCCTTCCCCTTCCCCTTCTCCTTCTCCTTCCCCTTCTCCTTCCCCTTCTCCTTCTCCTTCCTCTTCTCCATCCCCTTCCCCTTCTCCTTCTTCCCCTTCCCTTTCTCCTTCTCCTTCTCCTTCTCCTCTTTTTCCTTCTCCTTCTCCTTCTCCTTTCCCTTCTCCTCCCCCTTCTCCACTTCCTCTTTCTCGTCCTCCTTATCCTCCTCCTCCCCTTTTCCTTTCTTCTTCTCCCCCTCCTTCTCCTCTCCCATTCCCTCGCTCCTTCCTTCGCCCATCCCCTTTCCCCTGCCCTCGTTCCCTCCTTCACCCCTCCCATCTCCCCTCCTCTCGTCCCTCTGCTCGTCCCCCCCTCCGCCCCTCGTCTCTCCCTTCCCATCGTCCCGCCCTTCACACTCCATTGCACAATCCCTCTGCAAGCATCCACGATCCTTAAAGCCTATGTCACCATTCTTGCCACCACGCACTAGACCTGCCTCGCTGTTTCGTTGACTGCTGGATTGGAACTTGAATTGACTGCTCTCTTTACCTTTCGCATCCCAAACCCCACCACCATCAGCAGCACCAATTCGAGTGTAAGCACCATCAGCACCATCAGCACCATCAGCACCATCAGCACCATCAGCACCATGAGCACCATGAGCAGCAGAAGAAGCAGCCACCGAGTCAGCAACAGCTGCTATCACCTCCCTCTCCTCCCTCTCCTCCCTCTCCTCCCTCTCCTCCCTCTCCTCCCCCGCCTCCCTCTCCTCCCCCTCCTCCCTCTCCTCCCCCACCGCCCTCGCCTCCCTCCCCTGCACCACACATCCACCTCCGCTCTCTGCTGCCCTGCATTCCTTCCTCTCCTCCCCTTTCATCTCCTCCTCCCCATTCCTCTCCTCCCCTTTCCTCCCCTCCCCTTTCAACTCCCCCCCATCACTCCCCTCACGCACTCCTTCCCCTTCCCTCCCAACACACTCCTCCCTCCGCCCACTCTTCTCATCCAAACGCCCCATCCTCTCCCCTTCACCCTCCTCCTCCTCCCCCTCCTCCTCCTCCCCCTCTCTCCGCACCTTAAAACCTCCCCTTCTTCCCCCCTCCAACTCACCACGTCGTCTCGCCTCTCCCTTGTCGTCCCTCCCTCGCACACCCACGCACTCCGATCCTCCTTCCTTCTCACTCCCTTCCCCAGACGCATCCCTCTCACTAGCACCGGTTCTTTCCCCATCAATCCTGGCAACCACATCAGGCCCAGTAACCCCGCCAATCTCTAAGGCTCCTTTCCTTTCCCCATCACTCCCTGAGGCGCCAGAGCGCCTGCTGTTGCTGCCCACGCCCCTCCCGTCAATCCCTTCTCGGCATGAACCCGGTTCCTTCTCCTCCCCACCCCCTTGCGTCACATGTATGCTACTCAACCGCTTCAGCTTCTTCCTCTTCACCTTTGCCTCTGCCTCTGGCTCTGCACGCAACTTCCCCATTCCCTCCTGTGCTTCTCCCTTCTCGCCCTCTTTCTCTGGTTCGCACCCTACCTTCCCCACTCCCTCCTGTGCTTCTCCCTTCTCACCCTCTTTCTCTGGTTCGCACCCTACCTTCCCCACTCCCTCCTGTGCTTCTCCCTTCTCACCCTCTTTCTCTGGTTCGCACCCTACCTTCCCCACTCCCTCCTGTGCTTCTCCCTTCTCACCCTCTTTCTCTGGTTCGCACCCTACCTTCCCCACTCCCTCCTGTGCTTCTCCCTTCTCACCCTCTTTCTCTGGTTCGCACCCTACCTTCCCCACTCCCTCCTGTGCTTCTCCCTTCTCACCCTCTTTCTCTGGTTCGCACCCTACCTTCCCCACTCCCTCCTGTGCCTCTCCCTTCTCACTCCCTCTCTCTGGTTTGAACTGAACCTTCCCCACTCCGCCCCACGGCTCCCCGTGCTCTCTCTCTCTGTCCACATGCACTGGTTGTGCTTGTGGTGGGATGGCAGGTAGGGGAGGGGTAGAGAGTGGTGGAGAATGGCTAGGTGTGGCAGGCGGGGAACTGGCGGGGAGTTTGGGTGGCTGGTTAGGTGCGGCAGGTAATGGAGGGGTAGAGAGTGGTTGGGCCTGGTTCAGCACGGTAGGATGAGGTGGACCCATAGAGCGTTGGCTGGTGCCTGTTACCACATCCTGATTTTCTGACGTTTGCTGCACTTGCTGATTCTCTTGCTGCTTCTCTTGCTGCTTCTCTTGCTGCTTCTCTTGCTGCTGCTTCTTTTGCTGCTGCTTCACTTGCTGCTGCTTCACTTGCTGCTGCTTCACTTGCTGCCGCTTCACTTGCTGCTGCTTCTCTTGCTGCTTCTCTTGACGCATCTCTTGCTGCTGCTTCTCCTGCTGCTGCTCTTCTTGCTTTTTCCCTTGCCGCTGCATTTCTTGCTGACGTGCAACTGACGCTGTAACTGCTGCTGCTGCGTCTGTGCCTGCTACAGCTAAGCCTGTTGAGCCTGATGCAGCTCTAACTGATGCAACAGGAGGAGCGATTGGCACGGAAGAAACAGTTTTCACTGCCTCGCTTGACTCCTCACCCTCCTTCCCCTCCTTCTCACCCTCCTTCCCCTCCTTCCCACCCTCCTTCCCCTCCTTCCCACCCTCCTTCCCTTCCTTCCCACCCTCCTTCCCCTCCTTCCCACCCTCCTTCCCCTCCTTCTCACCCTCCTTCCCCTCCTTCCCACCCTCCTTCCCCTCCTTCCCACCCTCCTTCCCTTCCTTCCCACCCTCCTTCCCCTCCTTCCCACCCTCCTTCCCCTCCTTCCCACCCTCCTTCCCCTCCTTCCCACCCTCCTTCCCCTCCTTCCCACCCTCCTTCCCCTCCTTCCCACCCTCCTTCCCCTCCTTCCCACCCTCCTTCCCCTCCTTCCCACCCTCCTTCCCCTCCTTCCCACCCTCCTTCCCCTCCTTCCCACCCTCCTTCCCCTCCTTCCCACCCTCCTTCCCCTCCTTCCCACCCTCCTTCCCCTCCTTCCCACCCTCCTTCCCCTCCTTCCCACCCTCCTTCCCCTCCTTCCCACCCTCCTTCCCGTTCTCACCCACCTTCCCCTTCTCACCTTCCTTCCCCTTCTCACCCTCCTTCCCCTTCCCCCATTCCCTCCCCTTCTCGCTCTCCTTCCCCTCCTCCCACTCCTTGCCCTTTTCACCCTCCTTCCCCTTACCCCCTTCCCCTTCTCACACTCCTTCCCCTTCTCACACTCCTTCCCCTTCTCACACTCCTTCCCCTTCTCACACTCCTTCCCCTTCTCACACTCCTTCCCCTTCTCACACTCCTTCCCCTTCTCACACTCCTTCCCCTTCTCACACTCCTTCCCCTTCTCACACTCCTTCCCCTTCTCACACTCCTTCCCCTTCTCACACTCCTTCCCCTTCTCACATTCCTTCCCCTTCTCACACTCCTTCCCCTTCTCACACTCCTTCCCCTGCTCACCCTCCTTCGCCTTCGCAGTTGAATGAAGCACCACCTGCTTGGTAACCCTTTCAGTGGTGGGAATATCTCCCCTCCCCTCTTCCTTTCCCATCTTCCCCGCTACTCCTTCCTCCCCCCTCCGCTCCCCCTTCACTCCCTTCCCCCGCTCGTCCCGCCCCTCTTCCATGCTCGTCCCCCCCGCTGCTCCATCCTCCCCACTCCGCTCCTCCCTCCGACCCTTACCCCGTTCGTCCGTCTCCCCCTCTCTCTCCTCCTCCTCCTCCTCATCCCCATCCGCCCTAGACTTCCTCCGCGAATCACGGCCAACTGGCCCCGCAACCCTTGCCTCCTGAGTCGACTCAAAAGTCCCCTCTCTCTCCTCCTCCTCATCCCCACCCGCCCTAGACTTCCTCCGCGAATCGCGGCCACTTGGCGCAAGAATCCCTGCCTCTGCGATCACTCTTGTCGCCTCCGCTGCTCCCGCTGCCCCCGCTGCTCCCGCTGCCCCCGCTGCTCCCGCTGCCCCCGCTGCTCCCGCTGCTCCCGCTGCTCCCATTGCTCCCATCGCCCCTCGACACTTTTCTTCCCGCTTCCTCTTTCGCTCCTCCTCTTCCCGCATCCCCCCTTCTCTCACCTCCGCCGTGCCCTCTCCCCTCTCCTTCACTTCCTTTCCCTCCCCTTCCTTTCCCACCCCATCCCCTCCATCCCCATAACGTCCCATCGTATTGGTATATCAGGAACAGTATTTACTATCTTCGTTCCGTCTCATTGTACCAGAACGAAAAGCGTGGAAATGGAACTTAAGTGACTTACTTGAAAGTCACCAGACTTACTTGAAGGTCACCAGTATATAGAGTGGTACTGGAACAAGACGCGCTGAGCCGCGGTCTGCTGCTTTGCACTCGCCGCAGCTGCGAATCACACCCTAGCCAAGGTTGACAAACACCCTAAAACACTGAATTCAATTCTTCAACCCTAAGTTCAGCCTTCAGTAAGCGCAATATGTCCCTAGCCTCAGTGATCCTGCTCGAATTGTACTCTGTATCAACTTAGGATGCGTTTTTGCTTCTGACCCTGATTTACTAACTATATAATAAACCTGTATACAAAATGTAGCTAGACACAATAAGGGAGGAGAGGTAAAGGGTGTGGTTGATGAAGGAGAGAGTGAGTGTCTGATCTGATGGAATGGGATGGCACAAGAAAATGCTATATCACTACGACAAGCATACTACAATTAAAATTTCCTAATGCTAGAAAGGCATAGTGCCGGCGTTGCGGAAGCTTGATTGTAGAATAAGTAGCAAGATGAACTTGCAACTGAAATGATTCAGAACAATAGGATGATTATGAAATGACAGAGCAGGGTATTTATCTTGAGCAGCTAACCCCTTCAGGATGGTTCTATCCACACCAACAACGCCACACCAATAATTCTACCCGCCAATAATTCTAGACTCCAATAATTCTGACCCTCCAATAATTGTACAATTATTGGAGGGCTGAGAGTCTTATAAAGGAACACTACAGTAAAACCTAACAGCATTAGTATCATCTTATGTTTGTATATTTAACACTCCCCCTTGCTGTAGGTTTTACTGAGGCGTGACTGAATGGAGGATACGTTGGAATTGACGATTGAATTTGTGGTAACGGCGTTGATTGCGGCGGTGATTTCGGTGGTGGCGGTGATCACGGCAGTGACTGTTGATTGATCCACCCTGCTAGGGTTTCGAACGTTCCGTCGAGAAAGTGTCGGCGGGAACCATACTTGCGACTGCTGCACGATCCAGGCTGAGTAGGCGCACGTCTCGCTTCTCAGGTGATTCCAGCAGTGCTACGCCCTGGGTCGCAATTCTCCCCGCAATCTCTCGGTTCTCGCTCAGCAGGGGTCTTCCAGACTCGTCATTCAGGCTCATTCTCGACAGATTGTCTCAGGGTTTCTCAGCACCTCCTCCCGTTCAGTTTCTTGTTCATCGTTTCCTGCTGCTGCTGCTGATGAGACTATGCCCGATTTCCTTTGCTATCGCGCGACTGCTGCTTTAGTCGCCACGGATTTGCTGCGCCATGGCGCGATGTCCTTCAGTTGCGCGTCTCACTAGCGCTCGCCATGTCATGGCTGGTGCTCGGTGACAGCAGCGCACGTGACGACCTGCAGCGCTGGATGCGCGTTTTCTGAGGCTGCGGCCAGATCCGCGACTGCTGCTTCGGTCGCGCGGCTGCCGTGACCTCCTCGCTTGACAATCTGCGCGCTGCAGCTACTTGCGCGCGACTGCTGTTCATGGCGCCCGTGGCGATCGGCGGCAGCGACTGACTGCAGCAGCATGCGCGCCGCTGCATTACCTCACATGTGGCGGCTTCTGCTGGTGCGCGCCCTCCCCTTGCCATTTCGGGCGACCTTGTGCTCGTGTGGCAGAATCTGCACTGCGACACTTGGCTCTTGGCAGGTGCGGGGCCTTCTCACACCAGCAGCTTCCGACGCCGCACCGCTGCAGCTGCGCGCCTACTCTGTCGTGACGAGGTGAGTTGCTCTTCTCCGTGTAACTACCACTGCTTGCACCTTGACCTCACTCATGTGTGTTTCTTGCTATTGATGTACTGCAGCACTGGCCGTGCTAAGTCGCTTGTTACTGCTCCCACGTTCTCTTGTGATTTTCCTTACCCCCGCCCATACCAGCTAGCGAGCGTGAGCGGCTGCAGCCGGCATCGGTACCTGGCACTCTGGCCCACACGTCTGCAGCTCCTGGTAGCGCATGGCTGCTGCTCCAGGCGGCTGCACGGCTGCTACTTCTGGCGGCCCACTACTGCTACTCCTGGCTGCGCACGACTTTCTCCTTCCGACCGAGGTGAGAATGCTTAGTTGACTCTTGTCAGTTTCACCCATGTTACTCTGTTACTCTGTGCTACTTCCCATGACCCTGTGCTGCTCCTCATGACCCTGTGCTGCTCCCCCTATACTAGGTGAACCCCGGAGGCAGCTGCAACTGGTACGCAAGCACCTGGCGGCTGCTTCTGCTCCTGGCGGCTGCTTCTGCACCTGGCGCCTGCGTCTGCAAATGTCTGCCAGCGGCACCCCGTGACTGGTGGCAGCAGCATCACCTGGTCGCTTGCAGGAGCTCCCCCTGACGCCCTGCAGCACCTGGAGCCCTGCAGCACCGGGCTGCAGCAGCTTTCCCTGATGCGCTGGCCGCTTGCACTGGTGCAGCTCCAGCACTGGGTGGCAGCAGTATCAGCAGCACCTGCGTCACTTTGGTGAGCAGCACCAGCAGTGCCTGTCTCCAGTTGTCTCCCCCTTCTTCTCCTCTCATTGGAGTCATACTTTTGTATTTAGTAGACGTCAGCTACCTCTTGTGATTCCCTCTGTCTACTTGCCTCATGTTGACTCATGCTGATGTTTCGTCTCCCCCTGAAACCTGCAGGCATATAAAGTCTTCAGGAACGGCCACTGTAGATGGCGAGTGGTTGTGACCAACCAGCAGCAGCGACTGTCCAGCAGAATATCTGATGGCTGCTGTTGTTACTGATTGCAGTAGGTCTTCTCATGATGATATGCTGACTCTTGTGATGACGAAAATGAAAAGATGGTTGTGAGATGAAATCCTGATTTGTTGCACCCCAAGATACTCCACACCCCACTCCCCCTCTCACTCGTGTGTTTGGAGCACATGCGTGAGCACGCACATATCACCAAACACATGAGTGAGATGTGTGGAGTTACGTGATGCCGTGTTGTTCAGCTCCCCTTGAGAAGCCCGGACTTGAGAGTGCAGCTCCAGCAGCTTCAATGTGAGTACTGGGTGCAGACGGTGCTACATGTGAAATAGGTTGGAGACCGCACAAGTGGCTGCAGGTGAGATGTTGTTTCGCTGTGAGGGGCTTGGTAAGATAATCCGCAGCTTGCTGAGTTGTTGGGCAGTACTCCGGCCGCACAACGCCATCACGAACGGCCTTCCTCGTCCAATGGTAACGTACGTCCATGTGCTTGATACGTTGACTCATCTGCTCCCCGGTTGCAAGCGCAATGGCGCTTTGGTTATCCACAAAGATGACGGTAGGTTCTTGCTGTTGAAAACCGAGGTCTTCACACAAGCGGCGAAGGTATGTGGCTTCCCTTGCTCCTTCAAACAGTGCAATGTATTCTGCTTCAGCTGTTGATGTCGCAATGACCGTTTGTCGTTTGGTCCTCCAACTGACAGCAGCTCCTCCCAAGGTAAACACGTAGCCTCCAACTGAGTGACGCCCCTCTTCGTTCGCATAATCCGAGTCCGTATATCCACGGAGCACCAAGTCTCCTCCTCCATACACCAGCCCCATGTTTGCAGTGTTCTGTAAGTAGTTGAACACTTGGTGGATTCCAAGCACTGTCGCTGCTGTTGGTTTGCTTGCTTGCCTGGCCAGCACATGCGCCGCATATGTTATGTCCGGCCGCCCTGCTGTTGAGATGTACAGCAATGTCCCAACTTGTTTCAGCACCAATTGACCATCAATCTCGTCCGGTGGTTCTCCTTGTGGTCCAGGTTCCTTGGCGATCGGTGTCCGTACTTCGGAACGGCTGCCCTCCATCCCGAATGTCGCCAAAGCCTGTGAGATGTACTTTCTGAGTCCGAGTGCGATCGAGTCATTGTCCGCGGCGACGTTGAGCCCCAAAAACTGTGTCATGGTCTTGCTGACCGTTAAGGTAAAGTGCTGCTTCAAGTGTTGAATCACAGCGTCAATGCCTTCTGCGTCATGAGACTGGATGAGGATGTCGTCAACGTAAGTGAGTAGCCACACTGGGTCCTGTCCGTCTCTTTTCCAGATAAACAGAGAGGGGTCTGATTCGGATTGCACCATGTCCAGCGCCAACAAGACACCCCGTAAGTGCTGATGCCACAAGCGTGGTGCTTGTTTCAGCCCATATACACTTCTTTTGAGTTTCCAGACTTTGTCTCCGTCCCGCCTTGGTTCTGGTGGTCTCACGTATATGTCCCGGTCAATCGGAGCGTATAGGAATGCATTGGAGATGTCCAATTGCACCACTTTCCGCTTTGTAGCAGATGCACCAGCAACGAACACGTGAGAGGTAGGTCCTTGGCTGACCGGTGCATACGTCCCATCATATGTCCCCCAAGT